CAATTCTCATATAGGTGGAACACATAAAGCAGGCACATAAGGCATCACTCTTAGATCCTTGGTCCTATTCTAGCATGCTGTTCAATAAAAGCTGATAAACATAACATAAACTTGTATGGGTACTTTGGGGAATACTTACTTGAGCTCCGCCGGTCGCACACATCACACACACTTTGTTCTTTCTTAAACTCTTTTTTCCATTTTAGAAAACATTTTCTTTTAAAAATCTTTTAATCCCTCGATTTGAGTTCAGACACCCCCGAAGGTGAGTCCGAATCCCTCAAACCAGGGATCTGATACCAACTTGTAACGACCCAATTTTCACGTCCGAAAATTTTGTTTTAAATATATTACTTTAGAAAACATTAATAATAATAAAAAAAACATTGTTTGATCAAACCATAACACAACGTAAACCATGTCTAAAAGCCAAACCATAAAACCCATCAAAATATCAGAGTACAAATCCCAGTGAATCTCGTAAATGCGGAAACCAGAGTGTGTGCATGATGTGCCGCTACCGCACCAGCTCCTTCCCCTTCGAAGAAGAGGTACCTGAAACCAAAACTGTAAAACGTAAGCACAAAGCTTAGTGGGTTCCCCCATCGTACCACATACCATACAAACACATAACATACATACTGCCAGGCTATTCTAGGGTGCCTGACTACCCGGTACGGCCATTCTGGGGTGCCGACCTACCCATACGGCCATTCTGGGGTGCCGTCCTACCCGTGTCAAGCCATTCTGGGGTGCTGACTACCCATGTCAAGCCATTCTAGGGTGCTGACTACCCATCGGTCCTAACAACCGATCCTCAGGGATTGGTCCCCTCCTACTACCTCTATCGCATAACATACCAGGCCAGCATACAAACATATCATCACATACTATCAGACATTTTTGGGGTGTCTGACTACCCTTCGGTCCTAACAACCGAACTCTACTACTATCACATATAACGTATCATGCTAGCATATAACATATCAGGTAGTAGCAACCAAGATGACATCACCAAGACAATCATCAAACATACGACTCCTACTAGTGGGTTGGCATTGTGGCCGTAGACCCACCGCTACTGGAAAGTAACTCACCTCAAAGTAGTTGCTGAACTGATTGGGAACTGACTGACTGCTGCTGCTGCTGCTTCGGAAATCCTCCGGTTGCAATTCCCACAACATACTCAATCAAACACTGCTAACTGTCCTTTGGGTAAAATGACCATTTTACCCCTGGTCTACCCTTAGTCAAAGTCAGAGTCAACTTTCAGTTGACCCGACTCGCCGAGTTGGCTCTCCAACTCGCCGAGTCCCTATCCAGACGATTGTCCTGAGTCCCATTTCTACTCGTCGAGTTAGGCTATGACTCGACGAGTTCTTCTTCTAAACTGACATTCAAGTCCTTCATCCTACTCACCGAGTTGTATGAACAACTCGTCGAGTTCATCTTCATCCGATGAACACTTATGCGGAGACTCGCCGAGTTGTATGAACAGCTCGCCGAGTCTGTTGTTGATCTAAGGAGATTGCCTTGAACTCGCCGAGTCAGGGAATCGACTCGCCGAGTTCCTCCATAGATGAGTTCAGCTTCCAACTCACTGAGTCACACCCCGTGACTCACAGCACACTCGACACCACGAAAAGGGGACAAACTCGGAGACTCGCCGAGTCGTTGCCATGCACCTACTAAATACACAGATTTGCTCGATTCCAGTCCATGCCATTCACAGATCTGGGCCCCTAGAACACAAATCACACGTAAAGTTTCCAACTTTACGTGTAGATATTCACCCATGAGGGTTTTAGGGTTCAAAATGCACTCAAGAGGGCAGATCTAGGGTCTTCATGCAATGAGGGTCCATAAAGGCAACAGATCTGAGCTCCTGGAGCTCAATCATGCCTAGATCTAAGGGCCAATCAGCCTATTACGAGATAATTTGCACATACAAACTTGGGGATTGGCTCAAGAATGACTTTCATGAAGTAATAAGCATAGAAACAGGGGAAAAACGGATTATACCTCAAAGAAACTGCTGAAAGAGTGCAAAGATGTATGGATTCCTTTCCTTCCTCTTAATCTACTTCCCCTTCTTGCCTCAAAACCTTCAAGAACATACACAATAGCCTCAAACTCTCAAGGAACAAGCTTAGAACGAGGGTTGGAAGATCTGGGGGTGAATGGGGGCTGGCCGGGGGTGGATATGATGTTTAAATAGGGTGCAAACCCCTGAAACTTAGGGTTTCATCCAACAGCGGTGACTCGCCGAGTCCAGGATATGGACTCGCCGAGTCGCCAACTTAAACGTGTCTTGGGTCCTGTCTCTACTCGGCGAGTCGGATCTATGACTCGCCGAGTCCAAGGCTAAAAATGGAAAATACTCAAATAAGATTTACATACCAGGAACCAGGCGCTACACATACGATCTCGTAACACTTCTTTTTTGAGTGCCCTTCTTCTCCACAATGAGTACACACAAAAGTGTTTTTTTGTCGCTGAAGTTTTTGTCTTTTGAAGGGGGTTTCAAGTTGTGAGATGCACAAGACTATCAGGTTCATTCTTCATGTCTTCCATAGAATTTATTTGGGACTGGTCTTTTCGTATGAATGCCTAGCATGCCTCAAGATCCAAGGGTGGATCTTTTCTTAGGATCTCCCCTCGTGCTTGGTTAACTTTGGCATCTAACCCTGCAAGAAATATGTGTACTCGGAGACGCCCTAATATTTTATTAAGCGAAACTACAATGCTCACATCATCTTCCTGGACTGTAATCTGGGTATCGATCTCCTGAAAGATCCCTATCAGTTTGTTGTAATATGTTGCAAGTGGTCGTCTATAATGTTTTGTATTGAATGACCTACGATTTAGTTCGAACAACTGTGTTTTGTCTATCCCATCATAAAACGTCATTGCCACTGCGTCCCAGATTTCTTTTGCGGTCTTCAAACGGATAAACCTCGGGATCAAGGTGGGGCTTATCGAGTCTATGAGCCAAATCTTCACCTGATTATTATCCATGAGCCAATTTTCGATTTGTTTTTCACTATAGTCAGGCTTCATGGAGGATCCGGTTAGGAATCCCAGTTTATTTCGTGCTCCAATCCTCATCCCCATCAGTTGAGACCACAACTAATAGTTTGTGCCATCGAGGATGATCCAAGTCGGGAAGGGAGCATCCTGAACAACAAGGCGGGGTTCTTGAGGAGGGATGGGATCTTTGTATGACATTGTTCTTCGAGAGTTGATTTTTTGATTTGATTCAAAGGGTTCTTTAATCACTTAATTTTTTTACTATAAAGAATATAATGTTTTTTTTACTATGAAGATGTTCGACTTCTTTTTGGTGGATTAGCGATGTGTTCATGTGTTGCAAGTTCCTTCCACCTAATATTTTTTTTGACAACTTCCCACACATGAATAAACTTAAAAGGTTTTAGCATGTCATTTTGGAATTAGTGTGCATTTTTTTTCAACAAACTCGTCTCACTTTCTCTATTAGCCCATTGTTTTTCAAAGTTTGTCTAAATTCTGTTCCAATGCATCACTAGTTTGTTTACACGATTTCATTTCGATTTACATTGGTCGTACATCCGGTAATCTGGATCTCGACCGATTCCCTTACAAAATCGCTCCGTATACATACCCAAAATTGATCATGCGACTGCCTCTTTCCCGTGTCACCATCTTTGGATATGTCGACTCATGTCTTTGCTAACCTCGTCTCTTATCTTTTAGTCCATCATCTTGGACCGGCCTTCCCCTTTTTTTGAAGTTGTTCTTCATGTTCGGAATCGGAAAGAATTTCGGTTTATGGTGTGAAGGCGGTTGTGATTGAATTGGAATTGAGTTTGCATTTGGGTTTGGGATGTTGATCGGGGTGGTGGGGACTGGAATTGAAATTGTTGTGACATTTGAAATTGTGAATAAAAGCTAGGAACACAACCTACAAACGCTTGGTGTTGTGGTAATCTTGATGGATCTAATTGTGGCCGGTAAGTTGGTGGTGATGTCGGATTGTAACCAAATAGTGAAATGGATTGGAAGCATTTGGTTCGAATTGGGATTATTGGAAGACATTTTTATTAAAAGAGTGTAAAATTTCGTGAATGGTAACTGTTTGGCAACGTTCACATTCGACCAATGGTCACAAAGAGGCAACAATTCATATTTTTACCATCGGACATTGGTGGAATAATACCGTGGTATAAAATTATTCTTGTAGTAAAAAACGAGGTAGGGCACGGTTTTTACCGCTGGTAAGCTTTATTACGATACCGTAAAGCCTTATAACCTAGCATTTTATAAATAAAATATTAATAGTAAACAAAATCTAAAATAATAAAAAGTATATGAGTGATTGAAGCCGACACGGTCTCCATTTAGTAAAAGAAAATAGTTGATTTGGTTGATTACAAAAAAAACTATAATTCATTTTTATTGATATAAGAGATCTGCAATAAAAAAATGTGGTGGTTTTACTAAACGCCATATTTATTAACACATGCTTGCGACCAAGTGCCAGACGGCCACACACAATAGACGTAACCTACGGCGTGATTAGCTGAGCACGTGAGTACATTTATGGCCGAAGTCTAGGTGCATGAACTGATCCATGTACATGCATCATTTTTACTACCATTAGTACGTAATGAATGCATTAATTAATATATCACCAGATCATCTTCGTCGATTATAGCAAACATTTTTCTAGAACCAATTCTTCTATTCTCATTTATTTTTATAGTAGATTCTAACAAGATTTTACCGGAAGCATGGAGATATGTATATCATAAAAACAAACATAACAAAATCATTCAAATCTGAAAGAGAGAACGTACGTAAAATAATGAAAAAAAAAATATAAAAGTATCTATATCAAAAATAGATGATCAAACATAAAAGTGATCAATTATTGAAAACCAAGCAATTTCAAAGATAGACCGAGATAAAGCACATGCATATCAATATGGAGTGATCGATCTTGAGGCTCTAGTTCATCATCATTTCAGAAGTAAACCAGTTCCACTCATTTTCTCATCGATTAGTTTGTCGATCTTTTCATTCATCGCATCTGTGAAGTAGTTTTCCCAATCTCCATCCTTGGCCTTCCTAAAAAAGAGTCGGCGTTCTAAAACAAAAGCTTCATCCGCTTGATACATCCCACTTTTGTTCAGTTCTAAGTTGCTCAAACTATCAAAACTACACATCTTTATAATATTTTCAAGCACGCCTGCTTTCTCTTCTTCAACTGAAAAAGGACATCGAATAAACTCCGCAAGCCGTTTCACATTACTCAAAGCATCGTTTTTCAAATCTTCATATTTCAAGAAAAGAAATCTATCCGGCCTTTCCTGGCTTGCTTTCCAGTATTCCAAGATATGATCCCAGTATGGTCCAAAGATTGAAATGCCTCGACAAAAATCGTCAAACGCCTCCTCAAATGGCGCATTTTCTTCCGACAAGTTTACAATTTGTCGAAAGAAATGATAGTAGGAAACTATGACATCTTTTATGTTTCGGTATATGTAAACAATCTTGCAATTTGAAGCGATTATTGATTTTGGCAAAGAAGAATAAGGAAGGTGTGTACCTAGGAGGGGGAGGTCCGAGGGGTTTTCTTTGATTTTTGGAAGGTGCAAGTTCTCTAGAAACCGGACACAATCATGAGGGAAGGTTGTTAGCAATGGGCTCGATGATGCATGGTCAAATTTTTGTCGGGTTAAAATGGCAAAACTCAAGGCCTTCAGCCAAGTTGTGCCAGTTTTGGGGCAACTACATAATAGTATGTCACCTGGTTGTGCCTCGTAGCTTTGAGCCAAAATTGATTTTTTAGGGAAGTTTTGAGCGTTCCAGGAGCCTTCATACTTGTACAAGGTCACTCTGCCTTGCAACCAGCTATAGGTGTGTTGAGGAAGTGTTTTGTAGATTTCTTCCATGGCTGAACTTCACCTACAATTGCTTATTCGTTATTACTCCATCTACTTTTGGTGGTGTCTATGCATCCCCTACCTTTTATGTTTCTTTGTAATCCCTATCTTTATCTTTATTAGTATTTATTATTTTTATATTCTATTATAAAACATACCATTTGAAATAAAATAATTGAAAATAATCTTTTCGCTAAAACTACATTTGTAACCGAAATAAAGTTTCATATTTCTTAAACCAAATTTTACCTGTTACAATGTTGATCCATATGGTTTAAGTTTATTACATCGTTCATATTGTTTGCTTTTTTCTTTGAACGGGCGAAAATGCATTAGCACAAAAAAGAAAGACTTAAACCAGGAGCTCAAGCCTAGTTACAAAGAAGCAATTGAAATAGGAGACATACGCCAAAGAGACCAATCACTACAAGAAGACTGGGTGATTTTCAATGGAAATTAGTGATGAAATTTTTCCGTTGAAAAATAGTGACGGAATTCCGATAGAATAGCGACAAAGGTAAAAACCCTGATTTTAGTGACGGAATTATGACAGAATGGATACGGAAAATTTTACGTTGAAAATCAATCGGTAATTACTAATGGCATACCGACGGATTATAAAGGAAATCTTAACATTATGTTTTCATTTGTTATCCGTCGGTAATCACCAAATGATTTTCAACGAAAATCTTATTTTTAGAAAATAATTTCTTTTTAGATTAGTAAAAGATAATTCAATTATTAATAATAGTCTTAGTATCTAAATAATTCTTTATTTTTACAATTAAAATGATATAATTATTTACGGAAAATTTAGTTCTTCTAATTATTAAAGAATTAGTATTTTTATTATTACTAATAAATAATAAGAAAATAATAAATTACCAACAACAAAATTCTTTTTTTGAAAATAAATCAAGCGTTTTTTATTAGTAGTAATAAAAATATATTTCAATTATTGTTCATAGTATTTTTCATTATGTATAAATTTTTTTGAAATAATTTAATCCTTATTATTGTTATTAATTACTATTTATCATAATTATTAATATTGTATAGTATAAGAATAATAACAATATAATTAAAAACAAAAACAAAGACAACAATAATAACAAAAGTAAAAATACTAATAATTAATAACATTAATAATAATAATAATAATAATAATAATAATAATAATAATAGGAAAGAAAAAACGTATATTAATAAAAATATAAGTAGTAGTAACAATAATAAAAAAAATAAAAATTTTAATATATAGTAATTAACATATATTAAAAGTGTGAAAATTTAAAGCGATAAAAACAAGGTTTGGTGTTCGAAAATTTAAAATTAGATATAAAATGTTAATTTTGATGGTGTACATGGGTATTCGTACGTATATATTAGTTATAATTTGTCAAAATTATAGTAATTTATGTATTATATAGTTGCGAGAAAAAATAAAGCGGCAAAAACGATGTGTGGTGTTCGGAAAACTTGAAAATAAGAACTCATCCATCAGAAATCTGTAGGTAACTAGCGACAGAGCAATGACGAATATTAGCATCCGTCACTAAGACCGATCAATTCTAATTTTCATGTTTTCAAGCAACATATATACAACCGTGTACACCTTCGTAACCGACATTTCAATTATAATTTACAAAGTTTCAAGCACCAAACATCGTGTTTTCCGATTTAACATTTCTCACACCTTTATTATAAATTAATTACTATACATTTACGAATTTGTAGCTAATATACACATATGAACACCTGTGCACACCATCGAAGTCTCGCTACTAATCTTATGTTCTTATATTTAAATACTTATTAATACACAGGATCCCTATGGTGTATACGGTTGTATACACAATATTTGCTATAATTTGTTCAATGTGTGTTAATTGCTGTATAATAAAGGTGTGAGAAATATAAAGCAATAAAAACCATATTTGGTGCTCCAAAACATGAAAAATAGAATTTAAATGTTGGTTCCCATGGTGTATACAGGTGTACGTACATGTATATTATCTATAATTTGGTAAATATACAGTAAGTGATGTATTATATAGTTGCGATAAAAAATAAAGCGGCAAAAACGAAGTGTGGTGTTCTAAAATCTTCAAAATTAGAACTCATCCCTAAGAAATTCGTTGGTAATTAGAGACTAATATTAGCATCCGTCGCTAATCTGTCGGTAATAAGGACCGACAGATCAATTCTAATTTTCATGTTTTCAAGCACCATACGTCATTTATTCTACTTTATTTTTCTGTAACCTGTATAATATATAAATTAATTATATAAATTACTATACATTTACCAAATTATAGCTAATATACAGATACATACAACCGTGTACACCTTCAGAACCGACGTTTCAATTCTAATTTTCAAGTTTTCGAACAACAAACGTCCTATTTTCCGCTTTTATTTTTCTCACACATTTATTATACATCAATTATTATACATTTACCAAATTATAGCTAATATACACATACGTACACTCGTGCACACCAACAAAACCTCGCTACTAATCTTATGCTCCAACATATAGATACTTATTAATACATGGGATCTCAATGGTGTATACAGTTGTGTGTACAATATTTGTGATAATTTGTTCAATGTGTGTTAATTGGTGTATAATAAAGTTGTGATAAAATAAAGCAATTAATTAAACCATTTTTGTTCCTAGAAAGCTTGAAAAATAGAATCGGAACATTGGTTCTGGTGGCATACACAGGTGTACGTATATATATTTAAGAAAAATAAATCGGAAGCAACGACGTGTATTGCTAGAAAACTTAATAATTAGAATTGGTCTATCGAAAATCCTTCAATAATTAGCGACTGATTAGCAACATAATATTCGCATCCGTCGGTAAGTACCAACGGATTTTCGAAGGATCAATTCTAATTTTCATGTTTTCGAGCATCATACGTCGTTTTTTCTACCTTAGTCTTCTCAAACCTATATAATACATCAATTACTATACATTTACCAAATTATAGTTAATATACACATACAAACAACGGTAATGTTTCCTTTCTAATTTTCAAGATTTCAAGCACCAAACGTCATGTTTTCCAAATTTATTTTTCTTATATATTTATTGTGCATCAATTACTATACATTTACCAAATTATAGCTAATATACACATACGAACACCCGAGCACACTATCGAAGCCCCACTACTAATCTTATGGTCTATACGGTTGTATGTACAATATTTTCTATAATTTGTTCAATGTGTGTTAATTGGTGTATAATAAAGGTGTAAGAAAATAAAGCGACAAGAACCATGTTTTTTGCTCGAAAACTTGAAAATTAGAATTGAAACGTTGATTACAGTGGTGTATACGGTGTACGTGTGTGTATATTAGCTATAATTTGGTAAATATGTAATAATTAATGTATTATTTAGGTGTGATAAATAAAAAAGCAAAAACAACAACGTGTGTTGTTTGAAAGCTAGAAAATTAGAACCAATCCATCAGCAATTACCAACATATTTTTGTCGGACCGATTCTAATTTCCATGTTTCTGAGCACCATGCGTTGTTTTTCTGTTTTACTTTTCATGTACCTATATAATATATTAATTACGATATATTTACCGAATTATAGTTAACATACACGTACATACAACCGTGTAAATATTTGGAACCGACGTTTCAATTCTAATTTTCACGTTTTCGAGCTCCAAACGCCATGTTTGCCTCTCTTATGTTTCTTATACATTTATTATACACCACTTACTATAAATTTTCCAAATTATGGCAAATATACACATACAAACACCCGAGCACACCATCCTAGGCCAATTACCTTACTAATCTTATACTCTAACATTTAAATACTTATTAATACATAGATCGTGATGGTGTATATTGTTGTATGTAGAATATTTGCTATAGTTTGTTCGATGTGTGTTAATTTGTGTATAATAAAGTTGTGGGAAAATAAAGCGATAAAAACCATGTTTGTTGCTCGAAAACATGAAAATTAGAATTGAAATGTTGGTTTGGGTGTTGTTCACGGGTGTACGTATTTGTATATTTGCTATAATTTGGTATATATACATATTAATTAATGTAATATATAAGTGTGAGAAAATTAAGAGGCAAAACAGTGTCTGTTGCTCGAAAATTGGAAAATTAGAACTGGTCTTTCGGAAATCTCTTGTCAATTAGTGACCGATTAGCGACGGATTAGCATCCGTCGATAATTGTCGGCGGATTTCCGAGGGACCGATTTTAGTTTTCATGTTTTTGAACCGATTCTAGTTTTCATGTTTTTGTGCACCATACTTCTTTTTTTCTGTTTAGTTTTTCTCAGATCTATATAATACATCAATTGCTATCAATTTATCAAATTATAGCTAATATACACATTGTAATCAATTTAGGATTTCTAGAAAGATACTATAAATATTGTCAATTCTGGGTTCTTAGCTTCGGTTTTGGATCCAGAGTCTCATATCAGAGCGGTCAATTTTGATAACAATGAAAAACAACACCATCGAGATCAACACGTTGGAAGCTACAGTGTCAAAACTAGGGGAGGATTTTGAAGCTACCAGGCAAGAAAACATCCAGCAGTTCAGCGACATCTTGAAGGCTATTGGGAATCTCACAACAGCTATGGAAGGACACAAGTCAAACAAAGGACATGTGATGTATCGGGGTGGAAACCTCCCAAAAACAACGACTGGAACAAAGGTAGCGGTGAGATTCAGCAGGAAGTGTGTATGAACAACTTCTGACGATTCAGCAGGAAGGAACGGTTTGTGAGTACATTTGTCTCTTTGAACGGTTAGCAGGACAGTTGACCGACATACTAAAAAAGGTTCTAGAAGGAAATTTCGTCAAGGGCATAAAGCCATATTTATGTTCTATAGTTAGAATTATGGAACCCGAGAGCCTAGCTAGAGCCATGTGAATCACTATAATGTTGGATGATAATAAAGCTACAGGAGGCGCCAAGATGGGAGGAGGCACAAATCCACACCGAAGAAGTA